AGGGTTACAAGCAACTTTCAGTTCCCGCCATATCTCACCTCTGGCCCCCAGGCCTGGGGATGAAGAGGTGGGCGTAACTTCCTAATTTTTCTGCTCAGCTCTTAAGTTTGAAGAGTCGGACCGCGCTGCCTTCGTTCGAGGCCGGGCGAATTCGTTGCAGCCGGGTTGGCCGCAGGGCTTCCCGCCGTCTCGGTCTCGCCGCGAGGGTGCCTGGCGCGCAGTCCCGAGTTCGGCCAGCGACGCTACCGTGCGGGTCCCTCCCTCGGATCCTCTGGGTCGGGGAGCTGGGACACCCGTCGGGAACTCCCAGGACCCAGGCCTCCACAGAGCCCAGCTCCTAGGCGGCCCCCACCTGGGGATATCTCCAGCTCCTGCGCTCTGCAAAGCTCAGTGCGGCGGGCTCCTTCCTCGCGCAGGGCGTTTCCAACGCGCCTTCAAGATGGTCTAGTTTTGGTGAACCCGTTTCTTTTTTTTCTTTTCTTTTCTTTCTTCCTTCTCCTCTCTCTCTCTCTCTCTCTCTCTCTCTCTCTCTCTCTCTCTCTCTCTCTCTCTCTCTCTCCCCCCTCTCTTTTTTTTTTCTTTCTAGGGTGTCCTGGTCAAATAATTGTCCATAGTTTTGCTTTTAGCGTATTGAGTTACGTAGAATACCTGTGTGTTTAAAACTTTCACGTCAATCTCAAACAGAAGACCCTTCTTGGAACGGAGGCTGAAATTTGGAAGTTAAGCAAAGAAAATCCGGTAAAGGGTCCTGGGAGACCTTGGTGGAAGCCCCACGCCCAGTGGAGTCCAGATAGGGTGACGCTGATCCCAAACCCTCTCCCCTCCCATTCCACCGACAGCTTCCTATTTGCTCTCCAGGGAGCGTGAGGTAAGCGCAAAGTGACGCGCGCGTTGGGACCGGCATTGGCCTCAGCCACAAGCCGGCCGCCCCGTCAGCGCCAGCTCTCACTAAAAGATCCATCAGAAAGAGAAAAAGAGACACACAATCGTCCCAAATTTCAGGCACACTCAAAGACGATGTGGGGACACAGGCCCCTTCAGGATGCCTCTTTCCCGGGCTTCGCGGAAAGCGCGGGGTCTCTCCTCAACGCAAAAGCAGAAGGCTGGAGAAGCCCCTTGATTCCTTTCCGACCCCCACTCCTGCAAAACGGAATTAATCACTAAGTTTTCCTAAACCAAGTTGTGAAGAAAGGCACCGCCAAATCGAATAAAAAACCTTCTGAAAACAGACAAAGCAAAATTAAAATTAGGTTTGGGGATGGTGAGCAGGTTGGCAGATCATTCCGCAACCAGGCCAAGCTCCTGGGACTGGGGTCGCGGTGGAATCTCTGCTTCCCAAGGCAGATCCGTGCACGGCAGAGTCTGCTGCGAGTTCCAGGCTCACCAGCCACCTTTATACTAGGAGCCTGTGTTCGGCACAGTCCAGCGACTGTCCCTAGAGCCCTGCATCTCCACGTGTTGGCGATGCCCGCGACGAACTGCCAGGAAGGGGTGCTCGTTTGGGTGGCATTCCTGCTTCAAGGAAAGTTGGAAATGCTAAGTAACCTCGAGCAAGGAAAATATCCTATCTCAGCCACGTGTTAATACTGCCCAACCAATTGTTACCATATCTGGGTGAGAAGGCATTTCCCGGTTGACCAGGGAAAAGCCAGGTTCGATTGCCCAATTTCGGCCAACTCCTGAGTCTCCTTCCCCTCTACCCCCCGCGGCGCTGCATTCCAACACCAACACCCCACTCCGGGACCCCTCTCTCTGCCTCCAGGTCGTTGGTGCTGGTTCTCCTAGCCATCCCCTTTCCCTAAGGCAGAAGGTCTGCGTGAGAAAAAGCAAGGGAAACCGCCAGGGCTTTCGTTAACCACAAGGGCTGAGGTATTGGTAGTGACAGGGGAGAGTCCGGTTTGTTTTGTCTTCCTCCCTCCCTCCCCCTCCCCCTCCCCCTCTTCCTTCCTTCCTTCCTTCCTTCCTTCCCTCCTTCCCTCCTTCCCTCTCTCCCTCCCTCCTCCCCATTCTTCCTCTCCCTCCTTCTTGGTTTTATTGTGCTTTTGGATTTGGGGTTTTGCAAAGTCATCACAGCACAAACAACAAAGGCTTGGACTCCTAGTCCACCTTTTTCTTATTCTTTCTTATAGTCTCAGGCAGGAAAGGAAATGGCTGACCCAAAATATCCCGGTCAACAACTTGGAAGTGGAGCTGAGATGGAGACCCAGGCCTCCGGCTTCTCAGGCGGGCTCTTCCTCCATTGTGATCAAACACACATACCTGTCATGTCCATCACTTCCACCTCTTCTGAGGTTGGGACGCTGTGACTCCTATCAGAGAGGACCCCTCTGTGGGGAGTCTAAGGAGGCCCAGGGTTTCCCAACCAGGTGGCCTCTCTCCTACACTTTTTGGAGTTGGGGTTTGGGAAGATGGAGGTTCAAAGAGGCAGGTGGTGAGGGAAAAAGAGGTTTCTTCCTGGTTGAAGGATACCAGCAGCTATCCCTTAACAAGGTTTGGGTGAAGATGCATAGAGCTTGGATGCTGTGTGTTTGATAAAGTCCAAGTGCTGTAGAGTGTTTTCTGCTGCTGCACAGGGGAGAGGGTCCCGTATGAGTTCAGATAAGTTATCTGAATACTTAGGAGAGCTTTAGGGGAGGCTGACTGCTGCCCAGCTTGCCAGAAACCCCACCCTGGCTCTTCCTTGTTAGGTCCAGCCCAGAAGCGAGGAAGTGTCCTCCATCATCTTTTCAATTACAGCTCAAAATTCCAGCTCCTTTGTGCAAGCTCCCCTTCTCAAAAGCACTCCCTCCTGTGATGCACCGAGAGATGCCGTCCTCAGAACCCCACCGTGGCAGCCTCCCCCCAGAGGATCAGGATAGTGTTAGAAAGCAAGGCTTGGAAGGAAATATCCTCAGAAGTACATGGCCCCAGCTCTTCGGAGACGGCTGCAGGGCTGGAGCTGGGTAAGAAAGGGGGAAGGCAGTCCCGTGTCCCACCTGGAAACAGCATTTTTCCACTGAGCAAACTTCCACACCCTCTCTGATCAAAGGCGAGCAGGTTGTCCAGTTGCCCGGAGAAAGAGACTCTCCTACAGAGCCCCTTCTTCAGACCCCCAAGGCTTCAGGGTAAAGAACTCCATTCCAAGTGCCAGGGAAGGATTTTTCCTGGAGAAACTCATTTTTATCCATTCCAGGAGGGGAATACAATTTGAAGAAGACTGCTGCCTTCCCGTCTGATACCTGACTGTGGGCTTCAATCATCCCTGTATATTCTTGGGATTTTCTGTCTCTGCAAAGAGGTCTGGTCTTGGCCACCATCCTGTGCTTTAACTTAGACACTTTCAGGTTTCTCTCTTTCTCTAATAGTTGTCCTCTCCCACCCTCCAAGACTGCTCCCTTCACTCTGAGCCCTGTTTGTATATGTGTGCAAACACAAAGATGCCTGCCAAGTTGCATATCGTGACAAGGTACATGGGTTTGCTGGAGAATCTTTGGAGACTGGTGGGTTTGGGGATGGAGCTGTGTGTCTCCTAACATGAAGCAGGTTAGATGTGTGTGGACAGGTATCACAGGGTAGGTACACACGCATCAATGCATGTATTTTTGAGTATGCAAACCAACGATTTGACTTGTATACTTGGTCTGTGTAAGACAAATACTGCTTTTATTCAAGGATTTGTTCAAGGTATGTAGAGGTGTACACAACATAACCTAAACTCTGCAGCTCTATAAATAAACCTCTCTTTTCATACAGGGATACTAGTATGAGCATGTGTGCAGACACTTGTATATTGGTATTGTATGTGAGAATACATATGTTGTATTTGAATGGAGTCTCTTTAATATTCGTGTACGTGTTGATAGATGCTTGTGGACACGTGTCCATCAAGGACACGTGAAATTTAGAGGCAAGTCCTGCACACACCCAGGGAAGACTGGCCCTCCTGTATTTTCTATGCCCTACCAGGAGCCATCAAACTGGACTCATCCCCACTCCCAGATTTTGTCCTAGTTCATGCAAGGCTACAGCCACATGCGGCGCCAGGAAAGGCGCGGCACAGTACAGGCAAATCCCAGACAGCAGATCCCTCCTGCAGCCTCAGGGGCCTGCTGGGGCTGCGGTGTTGCAACCAAACTGGGGCCCCTGCCGGAAGCGGAAGCCGAAACGGGGGGCGGTGAGGCACAGTAGCGGCGGTCGCAGCGCGCCAGGTTGAAGGCGCCCCGCGGGGGCGTGCGCGCGGCGCGCGTGCGGGGCAGGCTGGGCGCCAGGCGGCACCCTCCTGCCCCTGAGCCTATTTTCCAACAAATGGCCAGCGCTTTGCAGCGACGCATTCCGATGCACTGAATAAGCCGCTGATGCTGGCGGTCTGCTCTACATTCTCCTGTAGGCGGGGGGGTGGGGGGGGCGCGCAGGCGGACCCCAAGAGGTGGAGAACACGAACGCAGCCGCAGCGCCTTCGCCCACTTCTCAGATCCCCTGGCCCCTTGGGCACCCCAGGCCCGCCAACACCCTGGTTCTTCTGCCATTATTACCGAGGTTCCTTGACTGCACTAACCACCCTGCAACCCGGCATCCCTCTCAGAGAAGACCCCAAGATTGGTGGACCTGGAGCTCGCGCTTCGCACCCCTCCCTTTTCCCTGTGCCCGCTGTCCCCGGAGGCGGGCCCCGGTTCCTGGCCTCCGTGAGGTCACCGCGGTGCGGTAGCCAATCAAGGACGTCTAAGTGGGCGGGGCCCCCGTCGGGTCCCGGGAACCAAATCCGATGAAGGGGGGGGCCCCCCCAAGGGACTTAGGGGGTTGGGGAAAAACCATGGGGGCACCCCTCGGAACCCCTTTCCCGGGTGCGAATTCTCTTCTGGAGAGGCGCAGAGAGACACTTTCCCTTGGATCTTACGTGCGGGGGCCGCTGGCTGTGGGAGCTCATCCGCTCCAACGCCAGAGGCTGGGCAAGAGAGTTCGCGGAGGAAGCCTACGGAGTCCGGGGCCATGACCTAAGCCCTTTGGCCCCGGCTCTGGCCGCAATGACCTCTTTTTCCTGCCCCCTTCCTGGCCGGGATGCCTCCAAAGTTGTCTTCCCGAACCTCGCCCCCGCCTCATCCGTAGTGGCTGCCTACCCACTTGGCCTGTGCCCCGCAACCGCAGCCTCCCCCGATTTATCCTACTCCGGGCCGTATGGCCACCTTCTGCCCTACTCCTACACCGGGCCGGCGACCTCGGGAGACTCCTACCTGCCCTGCCAGCAACCTATGGCACCATCTCAGCCCTTCCGCGGTCCCGCTGAACACTCGCAGGAAGCCGAGGCAGGTAAGTCGTGCCCCGGCGGCTCTTCCCACCTCTGGAGTCCGGCTCCTGTGCACCCCTAAACTTCGCCCTCGCCTGGTTGCACACAGCTAGCGGGATTCAACCTTACTCGGCTTCCACGGGATCCGAGGTAGGGGGAGGGTGAAAGGATGGGCGGGAGGCGCGGGAGGAGGGAGGCGCGGGGGAGGGGGGGACGCGGGGAGGAGAAGGGGAGAGTTGAGCTAGGTGTCCTTTCCAAACCGACCTTGTTTCGATTTGCCAGGCGTGTGAAGGCAGGCGGGGGGGCTCCCTACCCCACCCCCTGGAGCAACGGAGTTGTGCGTACCTGCATATAACGGAAAAGTGCAACAATCCAAATGTGGAGGGTGGCGGCCTAGCGCCTTCCTCAGGATTCTCCCCATCCTGTACTCTATCCCTTCTCCACGTCGCTCTTCTCTGGTCTCAAAAAGCAGTGCTCAAGCCAAACCCTGCTAAACAGAAATCAATTCCCAGATGGAGGGCTGTAGACTTCTAGGTGGAACTCCTTCTCCTTTCTCCAGCCCCACCTCCTCTCCCCAGACAGTGCCTGACCTCAACTGGAAGCTGGTCCAGAAAAAAATGGGTCTAGGACCATTATCACTCATTGTTCAAAGAATAGAGCTACAAGCTGAGCAGTCTCATTTTCCCTGGCTACCTCAGCCTTCCAACCACAGGCAGCCCATCTCTGCCATCTCCACCTTTGGCTTTGGAGTAGGTTAGGCCCCAGTTTCCTGGAGCAGCTTTGAGTTCCTGAGAAAGTGTTCCCTGGATGGACTGACTCATCGAAGCCTAGGAGCAAAGGGTCTTCCCTGCCTTGGGGTTTGCATAGCTGAGCTGAGAGACAGACCCAATTCCACTAAAGGCCTCTGTACTCAGCACTTCCACCTCATTGTCCCAACAGTTGTCTTTGGTACAGTGCACCTAGGATGCACACCCACCAGGTGACTTCATTGCAGTCAACCTGGGAACCAGATGTCTCTTCCCTTCCCCTGTTGCTCTGCGGCAAACTCACAAACCATCCGAGCTTGAAGGAACCATGGAGTTTAGGAGCTCAACCTTTACCTATGGGCAAATTGAGGCAGGAAGAAAGGGTTGCATGGGTTAAGGACACAACCTGTTTTCCAGGCTCTTGGCCATAGGTAAATCCACTTTTACTGCATGAAACCAGGAAAGATTTTAGGGAACTTCTCAGAGCTTCACTGAACCCCAATGACAGATCTGGGGCTGCCTGTCCCTGGCTGCAGGGTCTGATTGGGAGTGGCGGGGGCTCCTCTGCAAATGAATTGGATTCTTCTTTTAAAGATACGCTAATGTGGTATGAGTGTGTTTGGGGAGTGGGGTGGACCTAGCCTGACCTTACTGGAGAACTGTTGACTGCATGGGTATCGTCAGTCCTATCTTCCGTACTCTTTCCCTTTCATTTTTTTTTTTTTCTTTTTTGGCCTAAGGACAACCGAATGGAGAGTTCCTTGTCTTTACAGATTCTACCTCGATCCAACGAAAAGCCACACTCACAAATGTTTAAGTACACAAATGTACTTAAACTAGATTGTAGCATTTCTCTCTTGAAACTGATGTGCTCTGACTATTCTAGAATGAATGATCGGGGTGTGAATGGTGGGTGGGGGGAGGGTCCTCCTTTTACTTTGAGGGCACATTCATTTCCGCTCCAGAGAGGGATTTGGCTCTAGGAGAGCCCCACCAACATCCCCTTTTAGCCGGTGCTGCAGCCCCCCACGGAGGCCCTGGGGCTCTATAATGGCAACCAGGGGCCAGATCCAGTTTTGACTTGCCACAGCTGGTGAGGAGAAAGGCAGCAGTCCTGGAAGGAACTTGGAGAGGGGTCTATTCCGAAAGTTGGGGCGCGATGGAGTCTGAGAGTTCAGCAGCCGGGGCAGTGTCCGCGGCAATCTGTGTGTCAACGCCCGAATCGCGCGATCCACGCAGCCAGAGACACGGGTGGTCGCTGGGCTGCCAGCCCAAGGCTGCAAGTAGAGGGGTCGAAGCAGGGGAGTCTGAACAGGCGCGGGCGGGAGCGGAAACCCAACAGTTTTTCTGGGAATTGGCTGAGGTAGGGGTCGAAGGGGGGAGGATCTGAGAAGCCCGGAGTGTTTGAGGCCACGGGTGAGGGATGCGGGGGAGGTGAAAGTAACTGGTGACCGCGGCTGGCCAAGGGCGGAGACACTGACGTTTGTGGGGTGAGCCCAGCTGGGGGGCACGGGCGGACAGAAGCCGCGCCTGGGCCCTGAGATCGCTCTCTCTCGGCTGGGGGTTTGCGGGACAGATCTGTGTAACCGGGACTACTGGAGAACCAGAAGGGCAGAAGGGGCCCAGACCTCCCGAGGTGGCACCCCGCGCGACCCAGCAGCGGCCCTGCCAGCCTGCGGTGCGGGACGCTGAGCTCTCGGATCCAGATCACCTTATCTGCCACGTAGGAACTCCTCTGTGCGTGCAGCCCAGCGGAGAACAGGGCTGCTCCACACCGACCTGACTTCTAAGGTCCCTGGAAATATCTCCACACTCCCAGCCAGCCCGCGGCGAGCAGAGAAGGAATGGTCACTTTTCCTGCAGGGTGCGCCTGAGGAGAAGGGTGGCCGGTGACAGTAAGGGAGGCGAAGGCAAACCCTGAGGGTCACTTTCCATGCTCTCATCCTGGCATTCAAGGACAGCTCAGCCAAATCTTTTCCGCTCTCCTCTTTCAGCAGCCCAGAGTGCCACGTGGACACTATCTGGCCTCTGAGCTTTGATTTTGCTTCCCAGCACCTGAAGTGCCCTTCCCTGTCCTCTCTAGGCCTCAGCTCAGCGTTCCACCCAATCTTTTGCTCTGCCTTATCCCAGGTCAGCGCCATCCCTGGGGCTGAACTCCGGCCTCCCACCTCCAGCGCCATGGTACCCTAGCTCTGGCCCTTGGCGCTTTCTGCACTCAGAACCCATGAGTGAAAGCTCCCGAGGGCCAAAACTGCACCATGTATCACCTGTCTCACAGTGTATGTAGAGGTTAAAAAGATAGATATGGCCAGGGGCCAGTGCTGAGGTTCGTGGTGGGGGCTGCTTTCTTGTTCGCTAGTGTTGGGCGGCATGCAGGCGCAGACCATGAAAATGCCTGACCTACCCTGTCACTCCCCAAGCACACACACCATCTTGTGCTGCCTCCCAGAATCGGAGAAGCCATGGCTGTCCCCAGAGCAGCACCTGCAGACTCCCACTAGGAAGCTTCGCAAACCAAGAACCATCTACTCAAGCCTTCAACTGCAGCACCTAAACCAGCACTTCCAGCACACGCAGTACCTGGCGCTGCCCGAGAGAGCCCAGCTGGCAGCACAGCTTGGCCTCACCCAGACCCAGGTGGGGCCAGTCCCATCCTTTCTGAGCCTGCTTCTGTAGGAACTCACCCCGCTGGGTGAATGAGCTATGAGTCTCCCAGCTCTGGTGTTATAGTTCTCCAGGGGATGTTTATAGCTGGTCCTCAGCAAGGGTGGGCGGGATGGATTGGAAGGGGGAGGTCAAGTAGAGGAGGGCATCCAAACTGGGAGAAGTGATACTAGCTCAGGGAACTTCCTGGGCTATGGAGAATTCTGGAACAAATGTTCCCCACCTCTGCTCTTCTGCAGAAACCCTATAGCTGGGTCCCTTTTCCTTCCTCAAACCCTTCTACACAGACTCCTCATCTTTCATTCTATCCCCTTTTTCTCCCCAAAGGTAAAGATCTGGTTTCAGAACAAACGCTCCAAATACAAGAAACTGCTGAAGCAGAACTGTGGGGGACTGGAAAGAGACTTCCCCAGCAGACTGCCCTCCCTGGCTCCCTGCTCTCCTCGCCTTCCATCCCTGTGGGATCTACCCAAGGCAGGAACCCTGACCACTGGTGGCTCTGGCAACAGCTTTGGAGCCTGGTACCAGCGTCACTCCCCAAATGTGTTGGCTTCATCTCAGATGATGTGAGTCTGAGGAAGGGCTGGCCAGACCCAGGCCCTCCTGCCAAGCCCAGGACCCCCGCATACCTGCACTTCTGAGATGAGAGGAAACCAGCTCCAGATGGGTTTTCTCAGAGGACAAGGAACTAGAGGAGGAAAAAAGATGGGGTGGAATCCTGTCCCTCTGACCACACGGCTAAATCAAGGACTTTAGCCTGTACCACTACCATGGAACGGACACCTTCTCTCCAGCTGGACAAAGGCTCTAGAGAGAGGTCATTGGGCTGGAGTTCAGGATTGCCCCCAGGACCCATGGGTTTGCCATTCCCCTCTCCCTTTCAAAGGACTGCAGCCCCACCACAGCCTGGGGTCAAAACCAGGAGGAAACATTGTTTTTGCTTTGTGTCCACCTTGGGCCCTGCTCTGCCCATTTGTGAGCAAAAGCAGAAGTGGACAACTAGAGACTTCAAAGTACGTCTCCATTGGGTTCTACCCACCCACCTGTTTCTCCTGGTGGTCAGCCCATTACTTCCAGAACCAGGGGTGTAGCTCAGTGGTAGAGTGAGTGCTAAGCATGCGTGAGGACCCAGGTTTTATCCCTAGCACCAAACCAAATCTAAAGTAAAACATACAGATGTGGAGTTCATTGACCCATGGGTAATTTATGCCCCCCCTTTTAGAAAATGTTTTTAGCTTTAAATTTTTCTTTTTTTTTGAGACAGGATCTTGCTATGTAGCTCAAGCTGGCCTTGAACTCAAGATACTCCTGTCTTAGCCTCCTACATGCTGGGATTACAGGCATGCCCCACCATGCCTGGCTTTAGGTTTTCAAACTCTTTTAAAAGCCCTCTTCCTCCCAGTCTACCCATTTTGAGTAGATAATGGACCCACTTATCCATATGATTCAAGTATTTATTAAGAACCTATCCCATTATAGTCCTCACCTCTAATACCTAACAATAATCTTAGAAACCCAATAGGCTAACACTTTGGGGAAAACAGTGACAAATAGGTTCTCTGAATTAGTTCAGGCAGAGACACCCCCAAATAGGTGGGGTAGACCTGGCACTAAAGTTTCTCGCGACTGCCTCTGTCCAAAGGAACTGCTCAGATTCATAATCAGCCTGGCTTGTAGCCTCCCCCAAGCGCTTATCTGTATACCATGATGTTTAGAGATTAAAGTTTGTACAAAAGTCTGGATCCTGTCTGTGAGGTATGTTTGTCACCTGACTTCACAGGGTCTTTTCTATCCCACCTGACTCATCCTCCACTGACAAGAGGAGTCAGAGGCACTGGATTCTAATTTTGCCTCTGCACAAGCTAGCTCTTTGATTCTACTTCTGGAATGTTCTAATAACGCCCATAGTTTCATATGCTCCCGTGTTGTCAGAGTGGTCTTCAACAGCAGATTCTCTCCTGGCCCAGTTGTAGAGGGAGCCTGGAACCTGATCCATCTGCAGCCCCTGGCCCTGCTCACCTTGGGAGAGGACACACCCACTGAGCCAGACCAGTTTTACTGGGAGAAGTGTGCTGCTTCTGGGTGGAATGACCTCAGCCCACCACCAGGAAGGAGGAGGAGGGGGAGAAGGAAAACTCTAGCAGGAACTGGAATTCTCCATCTAACACACATTCAGAGCCTCTGCTGTGTTAGATCCTGAGGATACCATGGTGACCAAGGCAGCCGCTTTAGGCTAACAGGGAGCAGGACAAATGACTAGAGGCTGTGTAGCAAAAGGTAGACAAAGGGCAGGACAGAGAGCAGTGTGGGCACTATCCAGAGGCTGCAGTCCAGAGCAGGCAGGATGGGGTCAGTGTGGGGTGAGAAGACTGAGCCTCTCCAGGAGCAGCAGGCCCAGTGGTGATTCATGGCCACTGCACCCCACCACACACAGGCAGCATGGGTGAGGAGGGCTGTGGGAAGAAGGCAGAGGACAAGAGCCAATCATTCAGGGAATTTAGCCTAACAGTGGCCTCAGGGGCTGGGGAGGGGCCTCCAATTCCAGGCAAAAGGCTCCCAAGGTGAGCTTCCCTCCCTGCCTAAACCTGTTCCCAAGCAAACTGCAAACATGGGGCCACTGGCCCCAAACTGAAGAGCCTACTCAACCCAGCACCCATAGAAGCTTGACTTAGGGTTGTAGGTAGGACAGAGGGAGGGGTGTCACATTCACTGAAGCCACCCACCTCAGGATGCCTGCAAGCAGTCCTTCCTTACTCTCTTTCAGTGGCCACACCTATTCCCTGAGACACACAAGAAGGAGTCTCTTGGGGATGGCAAATGGCTCCGGGCAAGCCAAAATCAAGACCAGGAGCAGTGGGGAGTGAGAGTGTCCAAAGGAAAGACCTCTTTTCCTCCCCTCCAGTGCCTTGCCTGGTCCTGGCTTCATTGCTCTAGGGGGTGGCCTGGCCCCAGACCCTTCCTCTGGATCTTCTCTGAGGCCACAGGCCCTTGGGGCAGCTGTTCCCTCCCAGCAGGCCGCACACTCCGCTTTCCACAGAGCTGAGATAAGATCTACCGCCCCATCTCGGAAAGCCTCCAAAGGCAGATTAATTGGACAACCCAACGAGTCGCATCGTTAAAACAACAGCCTGGGTTGTAAAGTTAAGTAGCAGGAGTGTAATTGCTCTCCCAGCCAGCAGCCATCTGAGCAGAAGGCAACCCCCTTCCTCACCCCCAGCCACCCATTCCAAGGGAAACAGGAATCTCTTTTCTACTTGGGAGCTGGTCCAGTTTCCCTGGGGTGATGATGTGCCTGGAGCCTCAGTGGAGGAGACACCCCATTCTCATTCCTCAAACCAACAGGATTACAGAAGGGGAAACCTGTGGCTTCTTCCCTTCAGGAAGCCCCACTGGGAACATTGGAGGAGAACAAGACTGAATCTTGGGGACTTTGGTCTCCAAAGAGTCCCACCTCTGCCACTTGCTGTGTGACTTTTGGCAAATTTCTTATCCTCTCTCCGAGCCTTATTTTAGCTCCCTAACAGGGGCACATTAATCGAATTTGCTTTGCAGTGTGGTTGTGATGGTGAATGAGATAGCACTTGTAACATGCTTGACACAGTGCCTGGAACACAGCAAATAATAAATGGCATTTTATAGCTGCTGTTATGATTATTGGGGATGGGGGGGTTATGGTGAGAGTGAGTTCACTCTGCCATCCATTCACCTCTTGCCTCCAGCAGACCTGCCTCTTGAGGGTAGTGAGAAAGACAAGGCTGGAACTTAGAACTCAACACATCCCTGGTCATTACCATTTGACAGTAAGACCCAGGCCAAAGTTCCAAATGCAAAAAGAGGGGGCAGCTTTTGTGCCTCTGAAATCAGCTGAGACTGGAAAATGGAAATTGTGTCTGAGATTGCCCAGGGTACTTGTTATCACCTATGTAGTCTCAGCAGCAGGAAAGCCATAGGAAAATTTTGGGGCTTCCCCTCCCTCTGGGTCATTCACCTTCCCTCCCCCTCCCCCTGCATCCTATTTTAAGGCTTGCCCCTCATTCTCTTCTCCAACAAAATGAGATTCAATTAATTCAATTAAAGCAATTTTGGAAGCAGCTCCTGAAGGCTTTCGATGTGAGATAATTACGAGTAATTTGCTTCTGTGAAGAGGAAAAGGTTACATGGGGTCTTGGGGGGAAGGAGGTTACCCCTCCTCATCAAATGCACACAGATCTAGAAGGATTCCACACTGCAATCTTAGCTGCCCTCCCATTGGACAAATTACTTGCAGGTGGGAAGAGGGAGCCTGCACTGGTGGGAGGGGGTGGGAAGACACCCAGTGACAGTCTGCCCCTCCTCCACCCCAAAGCCGCTGTGCGAGTGGGGGTGGGGCGCTGCTTGCTCTGGACAAAATGTCTGCATACCTGTAGCGGCTGACTACTCAGCTCCAGCCTCCTTGGAGTTCGGATGCCTGGACTTGCCTCTGGGATTGGATCCAGAGTCGATGGAATGTTATTCAGGTAGTTGAAGCCTGTGTAGATGGGGGCCTTGGAGATCAAGGACTTCCTTAGAATTTATAAGGGATGTGGGAGAATTTATAAGAGAGGGGAGAAGACAGAGAAGGTGGACAGTGGTTTCTTGATTCCAAGTTGCTTTCTCTCCCCTCCCATCCTCTCCCCTCCCATCCTTTCCCCTCCCAGGCTACAGGGGTTTCTGGTTCTACCTGGTGTCTAATCTCAATCCCTTCCATTGTAGTGGTGGCAAATCCCCTCTCATCTTTCTTTCCTCAGGGCCTCTGAAACCTTTTCCTTCCCCCAAAGCATCCTACTGGTGTTCCCACCCCCACCTCACCTGGATAGTCCTTTACTGCGAAGGCCTGGGAAGCGGTGAAGGGAGGATGTGGATGGATCACAGCAGGACCTGGAGTTAGGGTAGGGCTTCAGTCTCACAAAATGCCTCTCAGCCCTGCCCACAAAGGGATTAGGGTGCCCCTTTCCCTGGGAGCCCCGTTTCAGGAGGTGAGCAATGTTTTAACAATAATGGTGGAAAAGAAAAATCTTTGACCCCAAAGTATCTCTATCATGCCCCTCTTGCATCCCTCTCCCTCTTTACTTTTCTCATTCTGAGAGATTCCTTTGGTTCCAGTTTCTCCCCACTCCATCCATGCACTTCCTTCTCTGAGCAGCAGGCTGTTAGACACGGGAACGGGAAGCCAGAGAGAAATTTCTTCCGTGAGTCCTCGGTGTCTGCTGTTTCTCCGTGACAGACAAACTCCGAGAAGGAAGAGTGGCCTCCTGGCCATCAATGCCTCCACTTCCCCTTCCATGGACAACTCAGCTCAGGTTTAAAGGACGAGTAAAAGACCTATTATCGCAAACCTCAAAATACAAGACCCTAGACAAATATTTTCTATAGAGCAGACCGGGGCTCAAGGCTCGGGCATGCACATTTGCACAGAAGACGCACACATAGGCAGGCAGACACACACAGGATACATGGAGTAGATAAAGCAGTGCACATAAACACCGTGTGCATATGCACATGAAACATTCCTGTAGCTGTACATGGAGGCACACAGAGGAGTGTACCTACAG